CAGCATAGGTCACCACGCTTCTTCTCAAGTGACTGAGTTAATCTATGAAAGTTTCTGCAGTTAATTTTAGTATGAGAACTATTCGTACACATACGGCTCATGTGAGTGGCCAGCTGGTCACCAACACAGAATGAAGGATAAGTTCATCATAAAATAATTCAGTCAGGAATAAAAAACTTGACAGGTTGATGATGCTCTTTATGCATAAGTTGGTTGGTATACATGAAGTAAGATTTACTCATTTGAAGAAAAAAAAATTTAAAAAAAGATTAATAACTCTCCAAAGAGTAAACAATGCAGGCAAGAACATCGTCAGATTTCTGCTTTACAGAGGAACAGGTTGACAGAATCCCATGGGATTTCCAGTGCCATAAGAGCTCCATCAAGAAAGGTACTACTAGAGATTGTTCATACCACTGCCACAAAATGGACATGCTGAAGAGAGACTATCAATTTTTGAGTGAAATCCTTCTGAGCAGAACACACTAGATGCTGCAAGCCACAGCCAGCTATGACTCCTTCACAACTACCAAAACACTTTCTAGTGTTGTATCATTCAGTTCAGCCAGTCACATTGTAGCTCTCCTCATCCCCTAAAAACACAGTTTAGATACTGGGGACATTACACACACACAGTTACACATTAAAAAAAAAAAGATGACTGGTTTCCTATTAGAACATAATGGCTAAATTCTGAAAGGCAAGCAAGTTCACACATCCAAGCTAAAGTAATTCACACATTTTTGACATAAATTAAGCTAAATGCAGAATACACTGAAATTCTTAGTTAGGACAAACACTGCACTGATCATTCAGCTCCTCACTCCCTAGAAAACCTTAGGCTCTGGGTCACACACAGCTGTTAATTCACTGAATATTGCACAGGTCCATATAACTACTACAATGAGTGATCTCATCCTCACTGCCTCTTCTTTGTGCATAAAAGGTACACACCATATTATTCTCCAACCATTAATTTCAACATGCAATTTATCATTCAGTTAGGAAATCCAGTTATACCCTACTGTGTGTTGTCTTCACAATGCTGCAAATAGATATTTGTAATTAATAATTCTCTAAAATCAAGGGTGTTTAAAGAAAAAGCTCACTGAGATGAAAATGCTTACAGTTATGAGTAACCTTCAAAAATTACCCTGCAGTGTATCAGATGGGTTTCCAACAATCAATTTACAAACCCTACTGGCAATTAAACTTGCTAACTTTAAAAATTATGAATTCTTATCGAATCTTCTGACTGTATGCACACAAACACTGATATAACACCATCACTATAAGCTGTAGGAAAAATACAGAGCAAATAAAATTTGATTTAATAACTTGATTTTTCACCTTAGGGCATGACTCTCTATCCCAGGCAGAAATCAGAGTATTTGGATTGCTCTCTTATGCACTTTTTTCCCTGCTTAAGGATAAAACAGTGGAAGTGAGGTGACACCAAAAATTGACCTACTTGATATTTTCTATGGCACTTTATGCAAAAAATACAAATGCTCCAACTTCAATTTTTATTTTTAAAGTCAGAAGCACAATGAAACGTCTTGACGTCCTCATGTAATAGTTCATGTTTCCAAGACAAGTCTGCACTAAGCTGCCAAAAAAAGCTATAGAAATAGCACTAAGGGACAAAACCCCTTTACAAAGAGTTTCACAGTGCACAAAATCTTTTCAGGACTTGCTGGTTGGTTGCAGCCAGATACCCATCTTGACCTGACATCTTCACTGAGACCCATCATGGAGTACCTAGGCTGCCCAGCTTTCCCCAAATGCTGCTGGTTTTCTGTGAAGCCAGAAACAAACAAGAAATTCTGTGTGGACTGAAGAGCTACACACCTGCATAGCAGCAAAACAGCCAACACTTGGAGACCACAGAAAGGAATTAGTAATAGAAGAAAGGCCACCTATTTAACAGTAAAAGTCTCCTCTGCAACAACACAAGGCCATTTAAGGCTCTGAGAGATCAGGAATGGCACCAGAATACATATGAAGGTCACTGGATGGTTTTATAAAACAGTCAAAGTACTAATGTGGACAGCCAGGATCCAAGTAGTATTTTCTACCACACAGAATTGCACTGTCCCCTACTCTAAGCCAGTTACTCAGCACATCACTTTTGCCAGCCACAAGCTCTCCAAGCTCCAGGGAGATGCAAAGATAAACACTCTGAAAAGTTACATCCCAAGAAATGCTGTGGAATCAGTCACCACCAGTGTCCACTTCATCTGAGTCTGACCCGCTGGATTCCAAACCCAACAGCTCCTAAAGCACCTCATGACATCAAAGTACCTTGCTAAGGCATCACATGAGAAGAGCAAAACATTCTAAAAGAATTGTTTCTCCTTCTTGCTTGCACTTCAGATCTCTCAACTGGAAAGCAAATTAGACACCTGCAATTAAATGAGTACAGAATACTGGTCCTATTAAAAGACAAACAGAAATGAAGGAGAGGAAGGTTGTTGCTAAGCAACCCAAAGCTCTGTGCTAAACAATTTCCCGAGCAGCACACGGTGCTGCTGTGACAATTTACTGCCTTAGTGGACATGCAAGCTCAGGGAGTTACCTGCAAACACTTCAGCAAGCAACAAGCTGCAAGGAAGGGCTGACAGCTATAGAACAATTTATCATCCTGCTGACTGTTTTCTTTGCTCACAGACCACTGTAAGCACCACTACAGCACTCACTACCCCCAAAACTGCTTTATAAAGCTTTGGTGTTAGTATAAAGGTCAAGGATCACAGCATGCCCTCAACATACACTATGAACAGTCCACACTTGAACAATTTGATTTATTTCAAAGGCCAGCAACCCAAACTTTATCTCTAACATACCGTAACAACTGTTTGATTTGCATAACTCTACATTTCAGTTCTTTATTTTTCATACACCTGACAGCTGAATAGCCTGAAATGCCTCTTTCTCGGCTGCCTCTCCATAACTTCCATTATGTGCTTAGTCTGACACTAGGGAAATGAGCAAACATACAGCAACGCCAGTCTGTAAATCATCCCACTCAGTTACTCCATTAGCTAACATTCTCTTTGCACAGTCTCTGCTCAGACCATAAGCTCTCCAGGACACAGCCTCTCTCTCCACATTAGATTCATACTCTTCCCACTCTCCTGACCCTAGAAGCAACTACACAGTTAATTGCAAATTGTCGTTTTGCTGATGATTTTGAAGAAAAGCAATAAACACACTGTGCAGGAGGAGGGGGAAGAAAAATCAAAAGATCTCATTATAACTGAACTGCTTATGATGCAGCACAGCTACTGAAACACACAAGTGTATAATTAAGGAAGCAAGTGCAGAGGATGTGTATGTGAAATCAGGAGACACTTCCATCAGCACAGATTTGCACACATGCAAGAAAAACAGACACAGAGACAAGGCTGGCCCTGAATTTTTTATTCCTATATTAAAACACTGGCTAGTAAGCTCAGTTTCACCTTCAACATCTCGCAGTAAAGAAATACATTCTGAGGGGAAGAAAGTAATCAAGACTTTCCCAGTTCGCAGCACACAGAACCAGATAATGTCGGCTTCAGGAGAATGACAAGATAAGAAAGCCCCGCAGCGCCGCAGGCTGAGCTCAGCGATAACCACAGTGCCACATGTACAGCCCCGTTCCAAAGGGTCAAACCTCGGCTGTGTCACCCGTGTCACCGGCTGGGACCCAGCCGGGCTGAGGGACGGTCCGGGCCGTGCGTGTTACCGCGGCAGCACAGACACGGGCTCTCTGAAAGTCTCATTCATACCGACAGACAAATACACTCTGCGATACTTCTGCCATTGAAATAAATCAGAATGAAGATTTATTTTGCCTAACGAGCCGCTCTGTGCTTTCCTCAGTGACACTTGGGGCCGGGCCCGGTCCGACAGCACCTCGCCCCCGCCGCTCCCCGGTCCCAGCAGGAGCCGCTCCTTTCCCCCCCAGTTCAGCTGCGTTTCGCTCCGGCCCGCGGGTGTTCGGGCAGCAGGGAGGGCATTACCGAGCTCAGCCAGCTGTGACCCAGCGACCCGGGCAGCGAACGGGCCGTCCCCAGAACCCCCTCCCCGCGCTCTGCCCGCGGGCACCGGCCCCGGCCCCCGCCGCCCCGGGGCGAAGGGCGGCCTGGGCCCGGGGGAAGCGCCCCGGGGCGGGAGCCGTCCCCGCCAGGCCCTACCCCGCGCCGAGCCGAGCCCCGCGAGCGTGCCCCGCACTCACCGTTGCTGTAGGGCTGCTGGCCGGCGGGGGCCCCGGCGGGCTGGGCCATGGCTCGGCCGGGTGCGCTCGGTGCCGCCCGTGTGGCGGCGCCGGCCCGGGCGGGGGGGACGGACCCACCGGAACTGCCGGGCGGCCCGCGCAGCCGCACTGCGGACACGTGGCACTTCCGGGAGCGGCGCTGCGGCTTAAGGGGGCGGGGCCAGGGGCTGGGCTGGGCGGGCACGCGGAGGGGCGGAGCCGAGCGAAGCCGAACCGAACCCCGACGAACACAGCCGAGTCACACCGAACCGGGGCGAGCCCAGACGAACTCAGCCGAAGGCGGCCCAGTCGAGACCACGCCCGCGCATCCGAACGGAGCCGAGTCCATCCGAACACAGACGAGCCCACCCGAGCGTGTGCGCCGCGGGTGCCGGTGCCGGAAGGAGCCGCGGGGGGCGGAGCGGGCGCAGCCGCGGGTGAGTGTCGGTGTCGGTCGGTGTCGGTTCTGCCCGAGTCCCGGAGCACCTCAGGCTCGGCGGTGGGTGAGCGGGGCGGGCGGTGAGGGGTCTGTTCTCCCCGGCCGGCCCCGCAGGACGCTGGGCCATCCCCGTGTCCTGCTGGGAGCGGCCTCCGGGCCGCGGCGGGGCCTGGCCGGGGGTCCCTGCGCGCCCCGCCGAGCTGCGGCCTGCGCGGGGCCGCGGGCAGCGCGCCGCGAGGGGCGGCCGCTCCCCTCCCTTCCCTCCTGTCCCTTCTGTCCCCTCCCTCTTCTTCCTCCCGGCACAGCCCTGGGGCTGCTCGGGCCGCTGGCGGCACCCGCCGGTCCGTGTGGCTGTCCCGGTGCTCGCCGGTCCCGAGCAGCGCTGCCTCCGTGGGTCTGCGATGCTGAGGTGCGCTAAGGAACCCCATAACCCGCAGATGCCCTGCAGCCTCCCTGGGCAGCCGTCTGCCACGCTGTAGCGACCTGGCAGTACTTGTGTGGAGTATTGTTTTGTCTTCAGAAGTTACTGCTTTTAAGGGTTGTGTTCATAAGTCAGTGCATGGTGCAGCAGCCCTGCAGTGAGGATGTGCTCTGACAGCTGGGCTTTGTGAGCCAGGGCTGCCTGAACCTCTGCATCAGGTGCCCTTACGAACTCGTGTGTTCTAGTGCCGTCTTCACAGGTAAACTCTGCTGTCTCGAAATTGAGTTGCTATCAAAGAATTATTAAAATATTTTAAGAAAGTCTATGCTTTTACCTAATTTTCTAACTGTGCCTTTCATTAGCTCTTAAAAATACAACATCCAAATGCAGTTTCAAATCAAAGAATAAACTGTGTTGTAGAATCTCAGTTTATCCACTGAGTTTCCTAGGGATTTTTACTTTTGTTGCCTGTGGTAATATTTTATAATGTTATGGTGATCATGTGTGAAATTATAACTTTCAAGTTATCATGTTTCCATCCTACTTGAAAAACTAAAAATACCCTTAGCAGTAGGCTTTAAGCCATTGCTTGCAGGTTGTGGTTTCAGACTGAACTGTGGCTGAAACTGATGTTTGTGCTCTCAGGCTGGACTGAGAGCTCTTGCTGACAGTCCCCCCACAGGTGTGGCACAGTGTGTTCCCAGTTCACGCAGGAGCTGTTCACTTGGGTGTCACTGGTTTCTGTTTCCTAATTGTTCCATAAAGGCATTTAAAATGCTCTTTAAAACCCTGATATTGTCTCTTACCTTAACTCCACGAGTGAAGTGAGCATTGTCGTAAGGTTTGGAAGTGAAATGATGAATTTTTAGCTAGAAAAAAAGCAAGTTGAGTGTAGGAGGAAAAAATTTCCTAGTTTTCAGAAGATAAGAGGTGTGAGTGAGTTTGCTTGCTAGTCCATGCTGTCAGCAGCTTTCTCTTCAGGAGGCTGGCTCAGTGTTACCAGAGCCACTGGGGAATTCCTCATTCTCCACAGTCTCAGTAAGTGAACCCACATCCTTGGTCTATGGAGTGGTGGACCTGGCTCCACAGGAGTTACTGGGTGGTGCTTTGCTGATGAAATAACCTCGTCCATGGTTGAAGGGGGTGTTTTTCAGTGGTAGACATGTGTCACTGAAGTGATAGTAGAAAGTTAAGTTTGGTATCTTCACAGTGGAGACACAGTGAGTTGGTGATGCCTGTAAAAGTAGTTGGTATCAAAAGACTGTCTTGGTCCGGCACAGCTTTTTGTTCAAAGCTTCTGTCTGCTTCCAGGGGATGATTTTCAAATCAACCATTGAAATAACATTAAAATAGTACCTTCTTCTCCATCATGGCTTGTGAACAGTGATTGCTGAGTCTTCATTGTTCTGCTTTTGTGGTGTTTTTAACGTGAGCCTGAGAGTTTGAGCCTGTATATATTCAACAGCCTCAGCTCTTCCCTGAATTTGTTCTCAGCGTAGCAACTCTTGAAACCAGAGCAGAGTCACTCTGGTTTTGTAATGCTTTGATTTGACACAGCTCTGAATTATAAAGTTACTTTTCCTGTGTGATAACAGTAGATTTAATATCACTATTCAAATATTACCTGTATGCCTTTACAATTAGCTGTCCATTTTTTTCCCATTTTGAAAGTGTTTTCCTTTAACTGCTGCCAGCTGATATGGAGGTTGTTCTGGGAGGATTTGGGTAGCTCTGTTTCCAGCACCACTTTTCTTATGGTGATGGAAATTGAACCAGTATTAATGCCATTTCAGCTGTGTTTGTAGAGTAATCCTGTTCTCAGATTAATCATTTGAATCTGAGCCCTTAAAGTTTTTTCTGTAATGCATGAAGATTGTTTTGGTTGATGTTTTTTATAAGCCTAAGTGTAATAGATGGAACAGGTTGATACAACTGAGCACTGAAGTTATTCTCACGTCAGTAATCTGAGCACTTCTCTTACATCACGCTGTTTGCCCTGATTTACAGGTTATTTGAGTCGATCGTTTCCCTAAGCCCCACTGAGGCTTTTCTCCATTGGTATTTTGCTCAAGCAATAAATAAATCTGCTGACGTGTGTGTTCTGCCATGTTTGCTTATTCTTGACCTTTGATTTTTAGCCATGCAAGGGACAGTTTCAGTCATGGCATTGTGTAACTGGGTGTTTATGCATTGACAAGCATATTTGATTGGTATTCTTAAAAATTGTGCCTGTTGCAGCTGCTGTGTTGTTCAGAGTAATGTAGACGTGGTTAAAGGTTTAAGGGTTAGCTGTGGCGAAACCAAGACACCTGGTGCTTCGTCATCTGGACAGATTTTGTTCCAGTGCAAGCAAAGGTCATTTAAATACCCACTCCTCTTTCCACATTATCTCTGTATGATCTACCTGTTGTTGCGTAGCAAAGAAACTCTGTCATGAGTGCAGTTGCTGTGATGGGTGCCTGGATTTTTGGGCTGGTTCAGACCTGTGTTTTGGCTCCTGTGTGCTGTGCTCTGGGCTCAAAGCTGCCCTGAAGTCCTCTTGTGATCCCCCAAGGCAGCTCTGCAGCTTCTAAACAAGTGTGGTGAGAAGCTGTAGCAGTGTGGATGCCTCTGCCAGCTGTGTTTAGCAGTGCAGTCCAGCTTTTCCAGGGCACTCAGACTCCAGTGTCCTCAGGGGTCGTGTATTCCAGGAGGAATTAGCTGGCTAAAGGCTTCTAAGGATGTTGCCCTTTAGTCTCCAAGAGAACTAAAATGCTCACAGTTCGCTGTGTCAAACTAGTGCTTTCAGTGTGATTTAGAGCACAAGTTTGATGAGGAGCAGTTAGGGAGGCTCAGCCTGGAGAAAGGAGGCTCAGGGGGAAACCTCATCACTCTACAACTCCCTGACAGGTTGTAGCCAGGTCAGGGTTGGTGTTTTCTCCCAGGTGACAAGTGGTGAGACAAGAGGAAACAGTTTCAAGTTGTGCCAGCAAAGATTCAGATTACATATTAGGAAAAATTTCTTCACTGCAAGGGTGACCAAGCCCTGGCACAGGCTGCCCAAGGCAGTGGTGGGTTCACCACCCCTGGAAGGGCTCAGAAGTCCTGTGGATGTGGCCTTGGGGACTTGGCTTAAGTGTTGAACACAGAGGTGCTGGGCTAACAGTTGGACTCAGTGGTCTTAGAGATTTTTTTCAACCTCAATGATTCTATGATTTTCCTCACTTTAGATAATGAGGAAATTAAGATGACTACTCAGGAATTAATTACTTGTGGCTACATAATGAACCTAGTATGGGCTCTCAACTCAGCTTTCTGTTATTGAATCCAAGCTGAAGGAATTCAGTGGGGAAATATGGGGGTCTGGTGGGTTCTTTTTTTAAACAAAACTTTTGTATTTAAGGTTTGAATTGTGGCAGCCTGTGCAGGGCAATACAGGAGGTCACTGCCTTTGGAGGGTAATTCCAGTGCTTTGTGCTAGGTAATTGTTTTCCATGACAAGCCAAACAGACAGGTTCTGTGTGGACAAGGATTTATTTGGTATCTAACTTCTCTAGATTCAACTCTGCAAAACTTATTTGCCTCTTGCTGCCTCCGCTTTGAACCCCAGCAGTTCCCAAGGGTGGCTGGAGCCCTAAATCTGCACTGATATCCCTCTAGTGCCCTCTCTGAAGTGCCACCTTTACAATCCTGTTTAAAATCTACAGTGAATCACCACATACCTTCAACAAATTGTACTTTGGATAAAATTATTTTTACTTCAGCTCACGTAGTGTTTTCCCAAGGGAGCGGAAAATCTTTGCTATTGTCATTTAACTGTTCTGTGATACAGTTTACCAAAACTATTTTTAAAATTATTTTTAACACAGGATTTGAAATAATTTTTGTTGCCTATAAATATTTTACAATGCTTAATGTGCTGTTCTGACAGAACTTAAATGCATTATGTTTTCTCTTTATTTCAGACTATAAGATTCAGATATGTTCCTATTTGATTGGATTTACAGTGGTTTCAGTAGTGTATTGCAGTTTTTAGGTAAGTCATTATTGTTTGGGGTTTTTCCTTTCTGCTATTCTTCTGTAAAATATCTGTTCACCTCTGTTATCTTCAAATAAGACTGCTGGGTAAATAATAATATTTGGTTTGGTGTATATGCAGCAATACTCAAACAAAAGTTTCACTTGTCAATACTGAGCATTTCCAGAGTGTGCTCTCCACTCCATCTTACATTAATCCTTCTTGAAAAAAAATACATTTTATTTCATGATCATATTAAGTAAAACTTTTCTAATCATACTACATTTAAGCTGGTGTAATTCAGTTGGCTTTTATGGGTCTTCTGATTTTTCTCTGCTATAAAGAACTGAACTCAGTTATTTTAATTCAGTTCTTTTGCACGTGAGGCTATCATTTCAGAATCCAAATAGGAGGGACTGTCTGCAAAAAATTAGTGTCAGATATTGAAACCCTTTCTTATGTTCAGCAGTGCATTGTTCTGTGATTTTTTTGTTCTATGCTTCAGAAATTAATGTGAAACTTCACTGGCATCTGCTCAAAAGCCTCAGAAAATTATTCCCTGTTCAAAAAGTCTGCAAGCCATATCAGTCCAAGGTGAAAAAACCCCACAACCATGAGGAAAATTAATGTTAGGATACAATTAATTTTAGGATACTAAAAAAAGGATCAGAAGTTGCAGATCACATAGGTAAAAGACACAATTTCCAAGTTCAAAGGATTTTATTGAAGTGGTCAAAAAGCATTGGAAGCTAAGAACTCATAGCAAGCTGTGCCACCTACCTTTTATCAGTTGAAAGTTTAAAGTTTTGCACTGAATGTCAGACCCTTGGCCTGCTATCAAAATGTTAGCCAGTGAAATTTTAACTAAGTTGACTAATCTTTCTTATCTCTTCTTCCTTAGCTGCACAGTGATTACTGCACACTGGCCTGCTCTTCCATTCCTGTGCAAGCAAAGGCTAATTCTGCTGAAAGACAGAGGAGCTTGAAGCAGCTCCCTCTTTTATGTCCCTCTTTTTCTAAAAGAAACACTTTCTCTTTGCATTCTCAGTTATAGTTAGAGTTGAAGAAGGCAGATCATAACATTTGGGAAACTGCCCACAGTTCCCTGTGCTGTCCTGTCAGAAGGCTAATGGGATCACTTTAGGAAGAACATCTTTGCACAAGTATACTTCTGGAAGGCACAAAAACATTTTTTAATTTGTATGTATATATATAAAAACTAAGGTATTGGTGTAGCCAGTAGCTGAAGTATGGCTGCTTGTTAGTCTTGTGTTTCTCTGAAAGACACCTGGGAAGCTTGAAATGTTGTGGTGCAACCAGCAACATCTGACTGGGAAGCAAAGATTCCTGGAACTGCAGGCTGAGAGTGGGAAAAATATTATTGTTTTCCTATAGTTTAGTAGAGTTTTGCTTAACTCATAAGGTGAGTGTGAACTGGAGTTTCTCCTGTGATGTAAGTTAGTATATGAAAGTGTTTGTCCACTTCTTTCTCTGTAAACATTAACACTTTCTCCTCCACTCAATAGTTTAATAGTATATATATGGGCATGTCAGAAGGTGAGTTTGGGAAGTAAGAGTTGTATTTGAAAGAACTGTGAAGACACTCTGCAGGACCTGCAGTAATAAAGATCATTAATAAAATAAGATGATGAATAGGAGAGAATATTCATTCCTGCAAGTTACAAAACATGTCCAGCTGGAATGTGATTCCTGAGATTAGCTCAGAGGCAGAGGGAGAGGTGAGCAAACAGCAGTGGTGTAAAGGTCTGCTGGGCAGAGGCACCTCTGGCCCTGGAATGCTGCAGCCTCAGAGGGCTGGCTGAACATCCCAACACACACGAGGATAGCACATTACAGAAGAGAGGGTTTTTTTCAGTACAGAACAGGATTGATTTTTTTGTTTTAAATTTAATTTATCTTAATGTTTTACTTTGAATATCAATGAGTTTAAAGCAGTGAAAACTAATTCTGGCAGAGGATATAGTGTTGACAAGTTGTAAGAGAATTGCCCTTTGATAATCTCCAATTTAAGAAAATATGGCGTTTGTGTTTTAAACATCTTTCCTCTCCTTCACAGCAACTGTTGCATTTCTGGGGTTGCAAGTGGAGGGGGAGAAGAAGGGCAGAAGACATTTTCATAAAGATGAAAACCAATGAAAATAAAATTTCTTTTTCCTGTTAGGAAAGCATTATCACATGGGACAAAGTGTGTCAGAAGTGTCCATTCAGGATGTAGCCAACAGTTTTCCTGGGGGTGTGGGTGAAAGTTATTTTTTGTCCAAATAATATGTAAACCAATATTAAAGAATTTATACACAAATGTTGAATCCAGTTTCTCTGTATTATTCTGATTGAGGTCTGAATTTTCTTTTTTTGTCTCAGATGAGTGTTTTGCTGTAATTGGAGGTAGATGAACAGAGTTCAGGTTCAGAATTGTCCATGGTCCAGAGCCTGCTGTTAGTGCTGGGTCTGTGCCCACTGTCCAGCAATGAGCAGAACTGTCCTTTTGCTGAGGCAGAGTAAACTACATTGGTATAATTTAGTCCATTTATTTTTCCTAAGATAATGGAATGCATTTCCATGATTGACACATTCACACCAATTTGTGCCTCTCCTGCCAAGCATCCTCTCAGCTGCATGTTACCTGGTGCAGCAGGCTTGTGGTAAGTGGGAATGTCATTTGTACAACGTGGATAAAGGGCACTGATAAAGGTGTGGTGGAATTTGCCTGGTCTGTATTTTGTACCATGACTGTAACACGTTGTTCCTAGGAGCAAAATCATCTCTAGTGCTGGAAATGAACTCCTGTTGAACTGTTTAATCACCAGGTCCTTTTTTCTTCTAGGACTGTACAAGAAATCAGGCAAACTAGTGTTTCTTGGACTGGACAATGCTGGAAAAACGACACTGCTGCACATGCTCAAAGATGACAGACTGGGCCAACACGTCCCCACGTTACACCCCAGTAAGTTAACAGTGCTGTTCCTTAGCTAGAAAGCATTTGAGGGATTGCAAGAAAAGCAGATTATGCAAGATCTGATTATAAGACCACCAGTGTAACTGGGGAGATACAAGTGGATTTTTGGGGTTGCAATCTATGGATAGTTCAAGAAATCTTAAAAAAAACCTGTGTCTAGGATAGTTCAGAGTGTTATATGTAAAATTAAGAGGTGAATAACAAACAGAACAATGAAGCAGAGAGTTTGTACTGTAGAAGCTGCAAGAGATAGGGGCTTGCAATTTTTGGGAACAACTTCTCTGTATAATTAGAAAATCAGTGTTTGTGTCTCAGAGGTTGCTGTGTAATTGTTATCCTGGTAACCTTGCAGGAGAAAAAGTTCAATACAGGTTGAAAATGTGGATTGGGGAAGTCTAGTAAGGAAGTGAGAAACTGGGAAAGGATGTGAAGAGGAGAAGCCTTGAACAGTATTGAAAACAAAATGCCAAATGCAAAATCTTTTTTGCAAACCAGATGTCAGAGCCAACTGTTGTTTGTGTAACATGTAGGGATAAATAATGTAGGAATACTCTGCTCTTCTTAGCATTGTAGATATTTCACACATGCTTTAATGGTTAATAACATTTTGGTGATACATGAACGTGCCCTTGATTTTGAGAGAATGTATTACTCTTACGTTCTCCTTGAATAAAAAATACTGGAAAGAACCAAAAGAAAGTAAAATCTATGTGCTAGAAGGCCATACTTTTCCAAAGCACTGCATAATCTTCAGCTAGAGTAATTCTCTGTATTTCCAGCTTCAGAAGAGCTGACAATTGCTGGCATGACTTTCACTACCTTCGATCTGGGTGGACATGCTCAAGGTAGGAGTGTGTTTTGACTCACTTAAGCTCACTGAACTGGGCTGGAGTTTGCTTCCAATCAGAAACACGGCCCTGCTGCAGAGACTGACTTCCCAAACTCTTCTGAGACAGCAGGAAAGACATTGGCTGCTCTTTTGCCAATCTCCACCATTTATCACAAACCACAAATATGATTAAGCAAGAGCTGCAGTGAAGGAGAAACTTTTGACTAATACTGTGAGGAGGAGTTCTGTGCTTTGAATTCCTTGCATTTACCTTCAAACTTACCTTTGTTGGCATAATTCTTGGGGAAACAAAAACCATTTCCATACATCAGCATTCATGTGAGATAGAACAGTGATAACATTAGAGCAAGTTATAATTTTTTTCTGTTATTTCAAACTTTGTAAAACATGAAATTGCATCCCAAAGACTGGCAACATAAGCTAAGAATTAAAAAAAAAAATCAAATTAATAAACCCCCACACCTGTTGCTTTTTAATTACCAATGTACATCACTCTATATTTGGGGATAATTTCCTTGTATTTTTATTTCTTATTTTCCCTGTAGCTCGCAGAGTGTGGAAAAACTACCTGCCTGCAATTAATGGTGTTGTGTTCTTGGTGGACTGTGCAGATCACGAAAGATTGCTTGAATCAAAAGAAGAACTTGATGTAAGTTTAAATAAGCTTTTGAAAGTTTAAATTTCTAAGAACTAAGCTCAAATACCCAGCAGACCTCTGCTGTCACCTGCAAATGAGTAGTAGTGATTTGACCTTCTGTATTTTAAATTAATCAGTCCTCCTTTCTCCATTCCTTTGCAGTCACTAATGACAGATGAAACTATTGCTAATGTGCCTATCCTAATTCTTGGTAACAAGATTGACAGACCTGAAGCCATCAGTGAAGAGAGGTTACGAGAGACATTTGGTCTGTATGGCCAGACAACAGGAAAGGTATTGCTTTTTTTTTTTAAATGAGGTTTTTTGCTTAGACAGTTAGTTTGCCTTATTTGTGTGTTGACTCTGGTTTGCTCTGCTATGCAAAATAAATGTTTTTATAACTTATAAAGTACTTAGTCCATAATAACAGTATATAGAATGAATCCTGGACTCTCTTTGTGTGTGTTAAATGTATGTCTGCTACAACTTCTTATGTCGTATTTATTGCCACTTTTTTTCAGAGAAAATGTATTTGTATCTGGAATAAGTTTTAGTACTTCAACTTTCTTATGCACTATTTTTAAACAGTTTTCAGAGGCTATAGTTGTAGAGTGAATTATGAGAGAAAACTGAATAGAATCTTTCTCATTTCAAGTGCAAGCTTTAATAATTTTCTACCTAACATATTTGCCTAAAGCTTAGAGTTAGATTTACACTATTGTAGAAGTCTTAAGTTTGTAGGTTGTGGAAAGGAGAAAGTTCCTACTGGCATTCTTAGCAACAAGGCAGATTTCTAGTAAGGATCCTTGTGATCCTTCAGCTCCTGCTAATGTAAAGTTAATACAGCGCTCCACTTGTGAGCGTTAGAAATGGTGTTTGATGTCCTTGGCCCTTGGAAAGAAACCTCCTGCAGCTGACAGAGTCGTTCCACTGTGGCTTCCAATCACAGCTCCCATTAACTGACCAGCTCTGCTGAGGGCAGCTGCCTTGCAATTCCTCTGTGCTTATTCACTCTTAGGTGCCTCCCTTTAAGTTCAGTGCCAGTCATAGTTTAGGTCAGGCAGGAACAAATCTTTAGTTTCTTGTTTGTTGCATTTTGCCCTCTTGTTTTGTGGTCTTTACACAACATGTGTTGGATGAAGCATGGACGCCACTGTGAATCTCCAGTTGAAGAGCAGCTTTATTGCACTGTGCTGATTTTGGCAAGCAAGCACATGGCACTCTTGCTTTGATCAGTCCTAAAATTTGTAGCAAATGTTTTTTTTTAATCTGGTTGGAAAACTGTTGCAAACAGAGCATGGAACTGTGACTGAACACCAAATATAAGCTCTAAAATTCTCTTTGCATGTTTGCTGTTCCATTCTGGTTTCACATACTTCGCCCTGTCCAGTGTGGATGCACGTGAGAAGATGCATAATGTTCTTGTACACGAGTTACTGAGATGAAGGCTGCATGTTCTGGTCTCTCTGTGGAGGTGTCAGGCCCAGAGGAGCTGGGGATGACCCACTCCTGGAAGTGTTTTTGTGCCAGTTTGGACAGGGCTTGGAGCAACCTGGCCTAGTGGAAGGTGTCCCTGCCCATGGCAGGGGTTTGGAATGAGATTAGCTTTAAGGTCCCTTCCAACCCAACCCATTCTGTGATTTTAGATTAATTTCTTTTCCAAAACTCCAGTGTCAAACACAAGTTAAATAGGGGCGTTCCATAGAAGCAAACGTCCATGTGGAATAGATGTCATTTATAAGGGAACTGTAAGGGATGTTTGTGTCTCTCTGCAGGGCAGCACACCCCTGAAGGACCTGAATGCCAGGCCCCTGGAGGTGTTCATGTGCAGTGTGCTGAAGAGACAAGGCTACGGGGAGGGGTTCCGCTGGATGGCCCAGTACATCAACTGACCCTGCCACAATCACAGCAGCACTGCCTGGCCCAGCTCAGTGTTGTCTGCTCCTTATTTGATCACTCAGTGTACGTAACTTGAATTCATTTGACTGTTCAATTTTAAAAATGCACATTTTTAGCTAATTATATCATTGATGCTAAATTGTAAGTGTGAGGATTGCAAAATTATTTCAAGCAAGTTTGTAAGTTTAAATACCACAACCTGTGAGCTTTCTAATCCCATGCAACATCCTTTTGCAGCTTTTAATTTAATGAGTCTCCAGCACCATTTTTGGTCAGAGCAACTTTCCAGTACAGTATGTTTGAATGCACTTTTTAACAGCTGAAAATGATGAACATGTGAAAAATATTTAATGCTTATGTTAAATTTTTTATGTACTTTTTTGAAACTGGTTTTATAACTTTAGAGTATATAACCATCTTTCAAGGAATAATAAATAATTAGCTGATGGATAATTGCATGATGCCTTACAGTTTTCAATAATACATTTTCTTATGCAACGTCATGCAATAAATTTAAATCCAGTTTTTGGCATCTTTAATGGGAAATGTTTCATTTTAATGTGTCTTAACTAGTGAGGCTGATCTGAATATGTGGGATATTTTCCTGAAACACAAGCAGGCCACAAAGTAGCTTCATTGTAGATCAGAGTAAGGTGGGTTTTTTCAGAAGACTAAATTGTATTTATTTTAGGATTTTCCATAGTAAAGGAGAAATCTACTGTGATGCCCTTATAATTACCACAAATATAAAAACTCTAAATTAGCTGTGCCAAAGTAAGTCTTGAATTAATGACAAAAGTGGTCTTAATCTGCTGGTCTCTTGATTTAAACCCCTGATGTGACACAAGAAATACAGTTTCTTTCTGAAGAAATAAGAATACCACTGCACTAAATATCCCATTTCCAATTTAATTAATTTTTGGGTTTACCAGAAGACTTGCCCATGAAATTTCCAGGTAAAAAAAAGGAATTGCCATTGCTGTTTTTGCAAGTTTACCAGCTCACACTTATTGGCCAGTTTAATTTTTAGGACAAGATGGATTCTTTTACGTGGTTTTGCCCTGAAACCTGGCCAGTGTGGCAGCTGCTGGCTGCCCAGGGCACTTTTTTTTCTGGGGTAAAATGCAATTTCTCTTTCTAGTTTCTGATGCTTTTCCCTGCTTTTGAGTGTTAGTTCCCCGAGGAGAAAGCAGGTTATCTTTGAAGAAAGGGTATTGCAGCATGTTTCATTGATGCTGACTGGGAGCTGTGGTGGGTGCTTTCTTGCTGGGCAAGTTTTACTCCTAATTTGCCAAATGAATGTGGGGTTTCAGCCCTGGAGTCTCCATTTCACTATGATGGGTTTGAGTTTCACTGTGTAGTTTGTTTTGTCCTTGTACAAATACAAACTGCTGCCAGTTGTACTGAATCCCTTTTACTTCCTGTTGTATATCTTCTCCAAAATACTTCAGGCCTTATGTTTCCAATATCCATGGCAGCAAGTGTATTTCTGACTGATTTGATTTCACAAATGACTTTCTTTTGACCTCTGGGCTTGAATCTCAGATCTAAAGGCTGTAGGCACAAAGCAAATAAATGAGACTTATTCCTTGCCCAAACCTGAACTGGTGTGATTGAATATTGATGATCAGTTCCCCACAGTCCTAGATTGTGCATCTGAATAATGCAGAACCTAACTAATATAAATTGTAAATGAAGTTTATTACTGCAGAATCACATGCAAAAGATTAAGCCCAGTTTGTGTGTGGTGCAGTTCAGTGTGAGGGCATTGGAGGGCTTTTCCAAATGACCAGCATAGAGAATTCTGCATTTAAACTCGTGCTCAGCTGTAGAGTGGTGTCTCTGCTGCATAAATCCAAACTGGAGGCAAGAAGTGGCCTCTCACCACTGTGTGGACAGTGTGTGTCTTTACTACCTACAGCCATTATGTAGGGGATGTGCCTCTTGGTTTTTTTTTCCTAGCTTTTTCTGATGATGGTTATAATGCAGAGAACCACAGCTAAATCACTAGATGGTGTAAATATTAAAAGTACTACTTGCAGAGTCACATTGTGGTGTTGATGTGAGGGATTTGGGACTGTGTTGCCCCTGCTTATGGAAATGAAGCTGGAAGTGGAGATTTGTGCTGCACTTCCACAGGCTGAGCCGTTGCATGGGCTTGGAGGGGTCCTCTTCACCTGCTCTTCCAACCAACTGTGAACAGTAGCACTAAAGAAAGGGGTAATCCTATTAAAAATTAAAAAGGAAGGGAGGTGATGGTGCTTAAAAGCGTGTGTTAAGAATAGTTCCCAGTGTTGTGGAAACACTCTTGATTTCCTGGTTCCTGCTCTGGGATGGTGGCTGAAATGTTATTGTAACAAGGGCATGAAGATTCCTTGTGTTATCCAGCTGGGTATGTTGTTGAAATAGGTGATCAATGCTCAGTGAAATACATAAATAATCTTGCTCTATTTCATTTCATTCAGCAGAGGAAGGACCTTTCTTCTGTAGTTTACATTCTGTTGTGCACATGAATGTGAATGAGTGTTGTGTGTCTTTGTGTGAAGACTTTATTAATAGACAAATATACTGATGAGAATTTTCCTGGTGGTTCTCATCCCCACCCCCTCCATATCCCCCTGGCCATTTATTTCTATTTTATTCCTATTACTGTGGCCAGTCTTGCTTCAAAAAAAGTAGTGTTCACATTTGGGTCTGACTTATATGATTTTTTTTGCACTCTTGACTATGCAGATTTTAATTGAACATCACTTTAAAGAATGTGAAAAAGAAAACTCATTAATAAAGATGTTATTTATGAATTGTCTCATTTTGTTTTTACATTGCAACACTTCCTTAAGAGAAATTAATGCAGATTTCTAAGATCCTAATATCTACTTCTGACAGTGGCCTGTATTTCACAGCAGTGACCCCATTTACTAATGTCTCTGGGTTGAATAAGATTTCTTTTGCTTGGATGTAATTAAAATTGGGGTCTAGTATGTATTGTATAACTGAGAGGCGATTGCTGTATTTCAGTCTTGGTTTAATACATTTTTCAGCAACAATTATTGGCATTTGAGATGGGAAAGCTCTCCAAGCTTTCTCATTTATCCTCTGCCAGATCAGGATTATTTCTGTGTTCAGGTCCTGACTATGATGTGCCAAAGGTGGCCTGTGGCATTCACTGGAGTACAGTACCTGCATGCATGGGAGCTTTATTGTGTTTTGATAAATGGCTCTGAGCATCAAACAGAACATTTGGCATTCACTTATTTATAAATAATGTCAGTTCAGAAAAATGATGGGAGTGGTCTCCAATCCCAGTGAATTCACAGGTTTGCTGGAGGTCAAATTGTTCTTCTCTTGTTTGTCCTGTCAGAGTATTTGGTTGTTCCCAACCAAAGTCCAGTGTTTCTGTTGACTACAACGTGCTCACATTTAGGTCACACTATTGTTAGTTGTGGACTGAGGAGTTACATTTGAGCTTCATCCACTGGGGTCAGTGGGGACGTGTAACTTCCTTGCACTTGGACAAACCACTCTTTGCACTGGTGTTTCTGTTCTGAAATGTGAGTGCGCTCAATGTTGAAAATCGTAATTTATATAATAAACTGCAGAAGAAAAGCTAAAGATGAAAGTGTTCTTTAACATGTTGTCGATGCATTTGTTATTATGTTGTCCCATCCTGTGCTGGAAATACAAGTATTGGGAATAGAAAATAAAATTTTGCTTGAAATTTGAAGGAGTTTTAAACAGGTAGTTCTTGACAAATTATCAAAATCAGGAAAAAAGTGTGCTCAGTATATGATCTAGGAGTGAGTTTGGGTTTTCTTGGGTGGGTATAGTAATAGTTCTGTCTCATTTTTGCTCAAATTCTGTTTATGGGTGTATGGAAAAAAATCCTCTATCTGGAAAACTCCTTGAACATGGAAAAAATTGCCTTTCCTTTGTTGCAGTTCTAAAATAAGATGGAAAGATAGGATCTTAGAGGTGACTGGTACTTCCTTAGACTCCAGCTGCCCTCTAGGATTAGCCCTGTTGGTTGGACTATGGAGTGGGGGTTGGCACTGAGTTCCAACTTATCAAACCAAGCCTAGCCCACAGGACAGTGTGACAACCTACTGTCAGAGAGCTATTTTCCAACCCTAAAAACATTCTCCTTAGTTTACATTTTTCAAATTATTTTTTGTCTGCTTTTGAATTACAATTAAAAATTTGATGAGCAAGTATGGTAAAATAATAATTTAAAAAATATATCACTTGTTTTTCTTATGAGCCTGTTTCTTATTGCACATGTTGCATCATAGTAAGAAATCTTACAGTAATATTCTGGAGCCTTTGATGCCTTTCATTTCAGGGCCTCAGAGCTTTCAGTCTGCTAATGTTGCCTCATCATGCTTGTGAGTGGAAGGGCTCCTGTCCTTGTTTTACCTCTGGTGGCTGGAGGGATTGGGTCATGCTTGGTCTCTGCCTGAACAAGAAGAGCTCCCACAGCAGCCTTGAAGGAAGTGGTGCCTCCCTGACGTGGGCACCGTTTGCCCATGTCTGTAACAGGATGACAAAGCCTCCCTCACGTAGAAGCTACTGGAGATACCTCACAAACCTTGTGTAAATTAGTGGCACGCTGGGCTGTTTTGGGCGGAGCTTTATTCCAACACTTTCATGCTTAAACATTCTGAGAAAGAGAGATCTCTATAACAGAGGAAATTCTGCTTGTGTTTTCAGAGCCATTGTCAGGCACAATGCAAGAGAGAACCAGTATGAAGTTTAGACGTTGTTTGCCGTTATTATTTTGTGAGAAACAAAGAAAACCCAAGAAGTTCCTCTGTGGGTAGTTGAAGTTAACTGAGCTGCTGCGAGTCTGACTGCAGTGAAGAATGTGTAACAGATCCTCACACATGTGACTGTGGGATGAGTCTATTTATGTCTCTGTAAACATGAAATTATGAAATGCACACCATGGAGATGGGGCTGGTGAAGTCCTTGGCTGACCTGGTCAACTGTCATTTGGCTTGCACCTCTCTGGGAGTCCAGAGAGGAATTTAAACTTGCTGCAGAACATTGTGCTGCTGGAAGATGTTTAGTGAAAGGGAAGCAGGTTCATGCAATAAAGCAAAAAAAGCATCCTGTGTGTTACCAGATAAGAGGGAAAATGCTGTGAGTTTCTGTAATAATATCTCAGACACCTTGTGGGCATAAGAGCACTTCACAAAGACAGCATCTAGAAAAAAAACCCACAATAATTTTTCTATGTTCCAGATCTGAAATAAACAGATGTGTGGCTGGGACTTGGATCCTTTCTGCAAAATATAAAAAAAGTGCAAATCTCAAGATTGCAAAAGAAGAAAAAAAGATGTGAGGGAAATGGGTCGTGGAGACTTTGCCTTTGCACTCATTAGATGGTACCAGTGGTGACCTGCACAGTACGAGGCTGTGGTGGGGAAGGAACTGCTCCTACTCTGAGTCCTTGGCTGGAGCCTTCTGGGATGCAGCCCATTGCCAGAGGGAGTGAGTAGGAGGGTGGCACTGGGCAGGTGCTTGCTGGGACAAGGAGCAGCCTGTCTGTGCAGGCACAGGAGTCCTGCCAGTGGGAGGAGACCCAAAGCCTGTCCTGGGAACTGGGTGAAAAAATCATGCAAGGAGGGCGAGCAAAACTCCATCCAACCTGGCCCTGAACAAGGACAGGACAGCCTGTCCTGGACAGCTTCTCTGGCCAGCCTGTGCCAGGGTCTCACCACCCTCACAGGGAAGAATTTGTCCCTCATATCCAGTCTAACCCTGCCCTCTGTCAGTGTAAAGCCATTCCCCCTACCCTGTCACTCCAGGCCCCTGTCTGAAGTCCCTCTCCAGGTCTCTTGGAGCCCCATTAGGTTCTGGAAGGGCCTGTAAGGTCTCCCTGGAACCTTCTTGGCTCCAGAATGAACAACCCCAGCTCTCAGCCTGTCTCCAGAGCAGAGATGCTCCAGCTCTCAGAGCATCTTTGTGGCCTGCCCTGGAGTTTCTCCAACAAATCTCTGTCCTTTTTATTTACTCCATTTCTGATTTTCTCATTTTGCAGAAGAGGCAATCAAACTCCCACCTCATTTTCAGCAAATGCTTGAGCACAGCCCTTTCAGAAACAGATGGTGCCCCTCCATTCACACACAACATCCCCCAAACTCCTGGAGCAGCATGTGCCTTCATCTCCCTCCTGTGCAATGCAGCCTATGGGACATGTGTTGCAGCATGGGAAGGGTTCAGTGAGGAGCCTAGGTTGGTATCTTACTGCTGCACAAGAGCCAAAGAAAACCCTGAAGCCCCAAATTCAGCTCATTCCCCCCTGCAAATGCACCCATACCCCATATTGTCTGGATAGGCAGCTCTGCCAGCAGTGAAGTGTTGGTGACTACTGCCAAAATTTTGACTAGAAATTACTTTTAAGTGGTTTTACTATGAGCTTCCTAATTGTGTACAAAGGACAGCATGAAAGAGTAGGATGGCAAGAAAAAAATGTGTTAAAATTTCACATTAACTGCCTACTTGCTGTTAGGGAAAATCAGAAATTTATGCCCCAGTTTAAGCTTGTCATGGTGTGCAACCCACTTTTGGGGTACTTTACAGAAATCATCCCAGTTGTAGTTGAAACATTCATTTTATTCTCATTTTCAAGTTATGTTCTTGTGCTTTTCTTTGCCTTGGACACACAGAATCATAGAACTGTTTAGGTTGGAAAACCCCTCTAAGATCAAGTGCAACCATTCACACAATTAATTGGTGTTAAAGCTGCTCTGTGCCCTGTGCATTCCTCCTGCCTTGGAGATGAATCCCAGCCCATGGCAAGGATTTAACATGGACCATGGCAAGGTTTGCTGGAGCACTCGGTACTACAGCTGCAAGAGATTTGAGCCATGATTTGATTTATGTCCCACAGGGAAGTGCAGCATCAGGTATTTAGGATAAGGTGCTGAGTGTAATTCAATCTTGACAATTATGGGGTTAAATGCTGCCAAAAGTCTTAGTTTCTTTTCTTTATTGGTACTTAGTTGCAGAAGGACAGGAGGAGACTTACTGAGGTTTTGGTGCATAGGAAAAGCAGGATCAAGCCTTTCATTTTGCACCTTTAAACTCTCAAAGCTCAGTTTTGCTCATGCAAAATTTGTTCATTCCTCACATGCTGCTGGTGCTGCATTTGCTGGACTGGGGTGATGTATCTCTGAGTGATAGAGGGGATTCTAGCTCCAAAAGAGCTCCTTTGATTCAGATTTCAAAAATATATAGTTAGGATCTGTGTAAGAGCTTCAGTGAAGTGGATAATTTGGATGTTGGCCTCCTTTTCCCCATAAATTTTTGTAATTAGAGGTGTCTCATTAACCAACAGTTGTGTTTTCTGCCTTGTGGCAGTTTGTAGAAACTTGATATTTCCAGGTATTTCAGTTCTGTCACTTAGATACTTGACTTTCCTTGCAAGCATTTGTACTTAAACAGCAAACAGATTGGCAGTGAGATGTGGTTCATGTGAATGCTCCTCATAAAAAACGATTACAAAAGCAAACAGAATGATCACTCCAGGTTCACTGAGGAATAGGAGCAAACCAAGGCTTAACCAGCCATGAGTCAATGCAGAAATTAAGTGCCTATTTATTGGTAAATAAAGGCTGGCTCCCATTCCCTGCTTTGAAGCCCACGTGCCCCCGAGGGGTTTGGAAAGTGGTGATGCAAACTGATGAGTCACAGTTTAGAACAATAGTTTCTTCATGTGAAATGACTCAGGATAAAAGAAAAACAGGTTTTTTAAGAAGCTCCCACCCTAATAAAACAGTAGGACATCTTGAACCCTGTGCTGAAAGTATATCTGTTTCTAAAGGGTAAGGTGGTGGGTGCCTGAGTCAGGGGATCAGGTTGTGCCTGCTTTCAGCTCATTTTCTACTTCCAGAGCATGCATGGGGATAACCAGAGCAAAAAAAAAGAAGTGTATGAGCACCATGTATCAAACAACATCTCATTTAACACTGAAGTGTGGTCTTTGTCTGCACCACAGTCCCTGCCCTCTCCTCTTTGCCCAGTGTGAGGTGAAGGTTGGTCCTGCTGGGCAGGGGTCACAGGGCTCCCTATGAGGTCTGGTGGGATTTTCTTGGGATGGGAGATGTCCCCTGCCATGGCACAAAGAGCTTCTTCATGAGCTAAGGGCTCTGCTAGGGACAGTGCTATAAAAACAGCACATCCATATTATAGATGTGTTATCTATAACATTATCTATATTAGACATATCCCTGTTTCCTCCAGTGAAGGTGGAATATGCTGCTCTGTAGTTTTCATGGCCCCACAAATCCATTCCATGTGTCTTGTTGAGTACTATGGCAGAAATTACCACCTTAGAAATCTGAATGTAAATATGTACAATTTTTAAAGGGTTTAATTACAACAGAACAAATAGGCAAAGGGAAAGGCAAGCTACAGTCTGTCAATGAAAACACCATAATCAGATTAACACAGCAGGCCAAAAACCAGGCTTTTTTCCTCTCTGTACTATTTGTATCACATGATGGGTAGCAAATTTCCCAATAGTTTTCCTCAGCCCTTTGTGTCCTACACTTTGTTGGGTTTGTCTGAAGAAAGAGGGAACTCCTGTCTTTCTGGGCTGCTGGCATCTCCCCAGTGCCAAGGACTTCATCCACAGTTCAGGCGTCCTTCCAGTCAGGCATGCTCCCGGGAGGATTCCTGCTCTCACTGCTTTCCTTCCATCCATAGGTGGCAGCAGGCTTT